AGCACCAACTTTGCCCCAAAATTTGCATTTCAAATATTTTGCAGAAAAGAAAAGCCAAACGGCCCACTTCTTCCAAAGCCCTACCAACAGTAGGCCTAAGGCCAACAGTGGTGGAAATTGTAAGCTTCAGGTATGCAAAATGCTTGGAATACCAACTAAATTTTGCTTTATATACATGGACAGCACTTTTTTGGGCCCCAGCCACAAAAATTTACTCAGAGTTCACTTGCTCTGAACAGGGGTTTTTTTTGGGGGGGGAGGGGGAGAGGGGGGTGGAATGTGCCTGTCCAAGATTTGGTGATAGAGTTTCCCTGCATATTTTCTTCACAGTGGCATGTATGTTTGTGGAATTTCTTAGGGAATAAATAGTCCAACGCATTTGGAATGTCCCCTCAGGCAAAGCACTGTTAACTTTTCTTCAGTGCAACTTACAGCTCTGTTCTGTAAGGGCTGATGGCATGAGTGGAGTAATGTACAATGTTGTCCCCACCCCTCCCTCTATCCCCCCCCCTTCCCAATATAAAAGACTTCCACTGCAGCAGTCCCCGGAGTCCCCTCGTCACATTCTTTGCCCCTCTACAGAGTCGGAGAAATGTTGGCTACACCACAGAAAAAAACCACTGGGAGTGGATCTACGGTTGAAGGAGGAAGAGACGGGGCCCATGGAGTCTGGAGTCATACACTCGTTTGCTGAAGGCACCCGACAGGATAAAGTAAGGTGGAACAGGGGTGAACTCCGCACGTGATGTGATGCTCCACAATGTCGAGGGTTGCCACCTTTGCGTTAAGGAGGGTCAGACTTAGCGCTGAAAAGTGTCGAGACCGATAAGTGAGGCAACCCAACGCCAAAAAAAGTGCACAGAGCGTGTACGGTCCCTTGTGTTAGCGTCGCCAACTGTAGTGCTGGCGGTTTGCAGCACCACGTTGAACACTGCGATCATTTCAATTTCAAACACGTATTCCTTTGCGTGCCAGAAAGACAATTCTGCATATTGGTACCTTTCAACAATTGGCACTCTACCGGTAGTTTCAATTTATAATCAAACTTGAATGCCACAGAAAAAACTGCACAAGCGTATTCAAGCTTTACACAAGCGATCCACTCACAAGCAACCCAAAATTCTTGATAACAGCGGTTATGCTTTTCTTTGGAAGATAAGGTGCAATTTCTTGAACAGTTAGTGAACTGATTGCTGTACAATTTATCTTGCTTCGCAACAATGGACAGTGCTTCCAGAAGAAATGGCCGTAAATTGTCACGAATGAGGAACTCCAAGTGACAAGGGAACAATCCAATCACACAGGACTACAAAAGTACAAAAAAGCATGGCCCTTCGGGTCTATCCAACATTTTCCATAAACTCTGTTTCTATTTTCTAGAAGTTTGGGGATAAAGGATGACCCGATCATATCTAATCTCTCCACTCTTAGAGGCCCAGATTAAGGTGAAATCCCTTCTAACCTAGCGTAACTAATCCTAGGCAGTTGAAATCTCTCTCCCCCTTCCTTTTGTTGAGGGGGGCTCTCAATGAACACTGATTTGCAGGTGCATGGGTATAAATTATGTCAGGTGTCCAAGACTGATTCAACATGATTTAAGTAAGGCTTTGCCAACAATACAATTTCCCCTGCTAAGGCTGCATCACTGCTCACCCCTCTTTGCCTGATGGCCCACTGTGGCTGGCTGGCAAATCATTGTTCAACTTATTTTGAAAGCAACTTGGATTCGCTGGATAATCTCCCTCCAAAACATTAGAATCAAACGCATATTGTACATGTACCTGACCGATGATCACATCATCTTATAGCTATTGGTTCCTTTCTTGAGCCGGAAGGGTGGATTTTAACTTTTTATGACCTTTTCATTCTTCGGTCAATGCCCGATGAAAACTTACAGTCAAATGGCAGGAATTATCCACTCGTTCTTTACATGCAGCAGGTTCAAAATATGAGAATGCCACTATTATCAAATATAAGGATCCACAAAAAATTATCATGTGGTACATGCAGGTGTACATCATTTGCTTCAGTGATAATGACATCAGTTTCAGCTTAACAACAGGTAGGCTCAATACAAGCAGCAAAAAAAAATAATATTTGTAATACTAATAGAGTTCTGCTTTCGTATACAAGAAAATTTAGCTGACAGATGCCATGCAAACTTGAAGTCAACAACGGTTCCTTCTTATTTGTAATACTTATAGAGTTCTGCTATAGTTTACAAGAAAAGGTGGCTGATAGATGCCATGCAAACCTCAAGTCAACAACAGTTCCTTCTTATTTGTAATACTAATAGAGTTCTGCTAAAGTATACAAGAAAAGGTGGCTCATAGATGCCACGCAAACCTCAAGTCAACAACGGTTCCTTCTTATTTGTAATACTAATAGAGCTCTGCTATAGTATACAAGAAAAGGTGGCTGACAGATGCCATTGAAACCTCAAGTCAACAACGGTTCCTTCTTATTTACTTTAATTTACTTACTTCATTTTATTTTCCAGGGCACATACATGTACTTACGGAGCCTTTTTAAAATTTTTATCCTAATTTATATTTCCTTACTCATGAGTGATGTAGCAAGAAATGCCTTTCCATACTTTGCTAGCCTAAATTTCTTTTCCTTTGGTGATTCGTTATCATGAAAGTGCATGGAAATAAACCAGTAAGTCACACTTTCTCAGAAAAGTTTTCAATGGACAAATATTGGTTCCACAAGTTTAAGAGAAAAGCTCCTCAAACGAAAAGTGTCTTCCCAGATTTACTGGTACATCACAGCAAAAACTGCTGCCTGGCAATGCATGCGCAATTTTAAATTTTCAAAAGTATTTGAAGGACACTTGTCAATACAAAGTGATTCAAAATACGTGTACTGTGGCTTTCATTAACAAAAGCAGGAGCGTGAATTTGCACAGAATGGGTGTGTCAGAAAAAAGTTCACTGCTGAGACCCTGGAAGCTGCCTGCCCAGCAGACTTTTTCTGTGCCCCGTTGGAAACATAACATTCTAGGCCTAAACATTCCTTTGTGGAAAGTTAATTTTCCTTGCATGGCTGGTCAAACATGACACACTGCTGATGTCTGACTTATGCTGACAACCGACAGCAATCATGCTGCACCAGTGGTTACGTTAAAAGGTACCCACGTATCCATAAACAGGAACCCATCCCAAAATTTGTAACTAAAAAAAAAGAAAAGAAAAAGAAACAGAAAAATTGCCAACATGACAAACATATTCAATCGCGCCTTTCCCATAACATTAAACAGCCACTTTCCAAAAAAAAAAAAAAACAGTCATAAAATTGCAGCTGTTTGTATGTCTAAGTTGTTGATGATGAATAACAGCATACAATCATCATGTACCATTAACAAATACTGAAATGCATGTTACAGGCCTACGTGCTGTTTACTCTTTTGAAATCCCTAAATGAGCACATTCCAAAGCTTTCTGTTTTCACTGTTACTAAGCAATTTCTAATGTAGGTTAGGAGTATCTGGTCACATAATATGCAACTGATTCAGGGCCGCCAATTCTCAGGCATTGAGCATTGAGACACAAGCATTTCAGGTTTATATTCTCACATTCTCACACCCACATGAGATCTCTTGTGCTGAAAAAAGTACCATAGCCCCATGCCTGATCTCACAGCTCAGAATAATGGTGATATTTACATGTACATGCGTATATTTCTAATGGGACAAAATTTGTACATTTTCTTCCACTCAGTCGCAGTGGCAATACCGAAAATCATGGCTCCTCTGCTGAGTATCAAGTAATGGTTCTGAGCCACATTTTTTCTCTTGGACAATTCATCAAACAAAATTTGAGAATTGTTTGGAAATGCCATTTTAAAAGTGGTCTTTGCATTAAAAAACACCAGGATTTGTCATTGAAAACTGCTATTGCACCACGATCACGATTCGGTTCACCTTTTGATATATAAAGTACAGTACACTATTGACATCTTTACAAAGGCTGACTTTTCCACATGTAAATATCACTTAACACAGACAAGACAATGGGGAGGGGACATTCAATGTTCAAGGATGGTTGGATTTGGGGACAGCAAAAGATCAGGTGCATTGCCACCTGACACTCCCTACAGTACTCAGGAGTCAATCAATGGGGACGGAACGATTTTCAAAGGGGGGAGGGGCACCAGTTGTGATATCATCAGGCATCAGTCACTAATAGGCCGATCCATTGAGCCCCACCCTATTATAGGACCAGAAAAAAAGTGGGGGGGGGATTGCCCCAGTCAAAAAAGTGGGAGAGGGCCACTTGACCACCGTCCTCCAATCCCCTCCCCCCACCAGTGGAGTCAGTTGGCAAGACTGAGCTAGCTGAATAAGGCTAACCTGTTCCTCACTGTTGGGGGTGACTCAGCATAATTTCTGCTACAACCATGTTGGGTCGAGTTGAGAAAAAAAAGTTTCTTTTTCTTTGCAGTATGCATTCTGGTTTCGACAGTGTCTTTTACCGGGGACTGTTCAACATACAGAAAGAATTTCCAAATTGATAGAATTTGAGATGCTGGGTGGCAACGGACAAAATGGTCCTTCTCCACAGCTGTGCCCATGCTCAGAACTACAAACGTCCACCCAGAACTGGCTACAAGAACCAGCTTGTGTGCCGCCACCAAGCATCTCAAAGTCCCCCACTGATTAAAAGAGACAAGCCTTTTTGTCGATTCCTAATATCCTTTGGTCTACACAAAATTCCCAAAGCGAAAAAAAAAAATCAATCAATTTGGTGAGCTCATTCTGGGTATTCATGTATTTTAAGGTCTTTCATGACCCTGTACCTAACCTGTACCTTTTTCTATAAAAAGAATTATACAAATCCATGGCCACCTTAATAGTATCTTTTTGGCACAGGTCAAAACATGCACGCCATATGCTCTACACACAGATTAACTAGACTACACACATTACAACATCAATCCACTGAAACAGCTCCCACCCCAAGAGAGAAAATCTGTTAGTTTTTGAATGGGATTCATACCTTTGTTCTTGGAATAGTCCTCCTGTGCTATGAATTCTGACGAGTCAAAATTGACTGCGTAATCGGCCTCCGATTTGATGCCCCCGTCACCCGGCCCGTTGGCCATGCCCTTCTCCGGCGTCTTCCCGTTGGTCAGTGCCTGTCCGAAAGTGGACAGGGACGGGAGTTGAACACCCTGGCCGTGACCCCCAGCCCCGCTGTGGACGGACTCCTGCTTGATGAAATTGACGTGATTGCTGGGCACTGGCGTGTTGGCGTTGGAGGGCGGGCAAGGCGTGCCGCTCAGCACCCGGATGGGTGGGATGGCGCGGTTGTTCAGCATGGTGGCGTTGACGGGCGTGTTGACACCACTATTCAGCTGGCTGTCACTGCTGTGGCCATCGAGTGGTGACATACCATTCATCTTGAATTCTTAATCCTCCTGAAGGTTAAAGTAACAAAAACAAAAATCTGCATTTTCGCATTTCCACACAGTAACATCTGCGAAGAAGTTTATGTACAAATGCGGGGCTAAAATTTGCAATTAACAAATTCTAAAGTCTGTTTAATACAAAACGCAGGAAACCGATGTCACTACGCATATCAGCTCAACTGGACAAGGAGCAGTGAAGTCCTGAACAGCACCCGATGCAGTTTGGTAAGGTGGATGCTAGTTTAACCCTCAACGAGCCGGGTTATTTTGGCTCCTCTCACAGCAAGGGGAGGGGGGGATTCTAACCCCCCAGCTCTTTTAGGGTTAAACAGCTTTCACTTTCTCCCCCTCCTCCCACTTCTCCAAACAAACAGCTCAAGACACGTGTACTTTTGCAACGATCCATATTAGATGACTCTTCAAACTATTCCCACATACATTCAAGCCTCAACAACAACAAAAAAAATAATCGAAGCCGAGCGGCCGAGGTGCGAGCGTCCGATGAATGTAGTCCCAGACACCAGACAGAAGCCAGGAAATTACGGGTGCGCGTAATTACCAGGATAACAAAAACATTCCATTGAGGGGTATAGGACACGTCAGCTGAGAAAAGGAACGTCGTGATCGATTCCGCCAACGTTGAACCACTGCTTATGTGGAGGCTTTAACTTTCTTTAGATACTGGTACTCTGTTAGTGAAAAGTCCCTTGTACACAGAAAAAAAAATTGGACGAGCCTTGAACTATGGTGTGCCGAAGTCTGTAGGCCCTGCACCTCCCCCCCAACAGTCAAGCCCCAGGGAAGGCAAGCGGTTCTTTTAAGGTCTAGTGGACCATAAAACATATTTTTGATATTTTGGCGGGTCAAAACACTGCTACGTGCGTCATAACTGACTGTTGATCCAACGCTGTAGGCATGCAGGTATCCATGAACATGTACGCCTCATTTCAGCGATTTTGACACCACACGGTGGGGTCACACACAGACCGGACAAGATTCCTCATCAATCTTTCTTTTGGAAGGAAATTGCCCAAAGGTGCACTACATGTACTTGTTAACAAGACCATTTATGACTGAAAACAGTAGACCAAAGCTGTTGTAGTTTGTGGTTCCCGTAGCTAGTTTCCTGCCTCCGTAAGAAAGTTAGACAGTGCAATTCAGTGTACCAGTGCTCTCCAGGCTATTCTTAAACTCAGTAAATACAAGGGGGGGGTTGACGATGCTTGATTTTGCATATCTCCATACTCGACTTGGCACATTTTATCTACCCTGAGCAGCTTTTACGGCATTTTTGGTGCACATACTTCAAAGACAGCTACGTCGCCAGGCAGAAAGTACGTTAGGAAGGGGTCAAAACTTTCATTGCCACGAAACATTTCTGATAGTGTGGTCAGCCAGTTGAAACGCAAATGCTGGATGTTGAATAAAAGAGGCCTGCTCTACGGCATGGTGCGGGGAAAACCGGTGTGTGAACTGTTTTAAGATCTTAATCCGTCCCTTTCAATTTACTGCATGCCCGGGTGGCAGAGACTGGTATTGGGTCATGGGACTGGGGCAGTTCAGTTCATTGCAGCTGACTTGCCGACTGGGTGATTGGTGCCAACAACTTACTGACTTCTGGGACACTTGGGTATTGTAATGAATTACACTGGCCATGAATTAACTTCAACTTTGTTGCAGTATATGAAGTTGCCAGCATTAGAACAGGTTTGCCAAGCACAAACTTTCTGACGTCAGAGAGTAGAGTGTTTGATACTGTAAGCATAAATGTAATTATGTAAGCAGGGAATTCATACACAAAGGCAAGGCATCACAGAGACAAAAGTAACAAGGCACTGAGATAAATGCATTTTGGAGAAAAACATGGACAAATCGCTGGCCTTTCTTTTAAAATTGATTCTTTCCTTTTTCTCTTTAAACTTCCAACAGATTTTTGTAAAGGGTTCTTGGATTTCAACTGCGAATCTACTCGATCTCAACACTGTTCAAACACTGCCATGGAACCAAAACTGAAAGACTTCTACGAATTTTTTAATTTCTATAATTCTGTTACAACGAAAAACTCAGAAGTCAAAACACACTGCAAATTTAACAAACACCCATCTATAAATAAACGGGAGGGGGGGAAACAAAGCTGGCAGGGGCAATAGACTGATCTTTTTTTTAACTACAGGCATCAATTACGAATCTATCAAAGGAAAATCAGGTCAAACCTGAGAGAGGATATTGTGGCTTTGCAGTTGTACATTTCCATGTAAGACAATGCATCAAATCACACTAAAAAAAAAAAGCTGAATGGTATCCAAATAAATATTTCAAAATAACTTTGTGGGAGGGGGGCAGGGGAGCAAACAATGATGTAGCCTCCAGGGATATCAGAGCGTGAAATGACAGCCAAACTTCCATGGTTTTCAGACCACTTTTTGTCAGAAACAGAAGTGGTTGGACAAAAATTATCTGAACGTGTTGTGACGTTCAGAGTCCCTAAACAAAATCTTGTTGGTGTTTTCACCCTGGTATTCGTGCTTAAATGGCTTTGAAACCACGACAGTGTTTTCTCAAGTAATCCCATTCCACCAAAAGTTGGTACTTATGTTTGTCCCACCACTTTTGGGGCCTAAATTTGTGGACTGAGAATAAAATACCTTGTAGGTTATCAGTGAATTCTAGGAGTGATGCTCTTGGCAATATGCATGGAGTATCACATCAATATATTTCTGTCAGGAGAATTGAAAATCAAGCAAGCAATGGAGTAGGCCTACACATGATACATTTCATGAAGTTGACTTAACCAGTTTAAGTACAGTACATCTATATGCATGTGGAACCACAGTTGGTTTTTTTTTTTTTGCTTTTTGCTGGATCAGGCCTTTGTTTGATTTGTGAAGACAACTTTCAAAGCCACATTTCAGTGGTTAGGTTTGTGCATTGAGAGTTACGACTTGTATTTCTTTTTGTGTGCATTTCAATGAAACACTGGCATTTTAAGCCGTGTGTGCACAAAACCATTTCTTCCATTCCCACACCGATCCACCTAAAAACCATTTTATTTACCGTTGCTATGACTACATCAGGTGTTTCCCCCAAGGGAACCTTTCTTCCTATGAAGCTGATCTGCCCAAAAGTCAACCACAAAAAAAAATACGACATCATGAATGTGAAACCTGTTCAACAACCACCGCTTTCAATCATACGCCCACAGCCAACAATCAAACAATGGGCTGGAAGAAAGTCCTCCTATCACAGAACCACGATGGAGTCAACAGGCTGCCATCCAGGTCGTGGAGTCAGGTTGGCGGAGGACTTCTATCTTTGCCTTGAACCCCTGCAGTCCAGGTTCGATTCCCGGCTCGGTCCTCATGTGGATTGGGTTTTCAGTCCCACCTGATTTCATGGGGTTCATCCAGAATATTCCTCTGGGGATTTCCTCCCACCACCAAAACTATAACTTCTTCTCCTTGTCTCCTCTCTACAGGTTTCTTCAGGCTTGCGAGCTACAGTGCCTGGGGCACTTTTGAGGAATCCTTGGTTTCATTACCAGAAAATGTAATCCAGCCAAGACTCTGGGACGTGCTTTGGCGCCCCCTAACCACAAACCCGTTTGTGAGATAAAAGCAATAAGGGCGGCCCACAAAAACTGATGAATCAGAAACGGACCGTTACGTCATCTGACAGATGCAAGTGCAAGGAAGCAGACATAACCGTTGATGGACATCATTTTTACTTAATATTTGGCATGTTTCTCTCCAGTGCTGTTCCCTCTTTTCACATGTATACTTGTTGAAAAAATGTCTCTTTGATTCGCTGTATGTAACAACAAATTTTGAAACCAGGGTCAGTCTATAAATCTGGGGTCCAAAAGTGTGACATGTTTGTGTCCCGGTTACACCTGACCTGTGTAATTTGACATGGAAATATCACTGAAATTGATTTCAAACTGTTTGTAAGTGCTTGATAGATAATTTACATTAATTTACCATGCTTGGAAATTAGAGAATGCATTCTGAACTTACAAAATTCGTTGAGACCAAAATTGACAGTTTATTTTCCGCCATTTTTAACTAGTGCTGAACCAACTCCAACCTTCGGTTCTCGTTTCGTTGGAACAACGACATCACGGAGGCATAACCAAGTCGTGACAACACTTAACTAATAACCAAAGATGGCACAAGTTCATGGTGCGGGTCATCAAAACGTGTCCCATTAGTGTCCCTGCATTCACATTGTGCCTGGGACAGTTATATGCTATGGGCGGGTAATCTCCTATGGGGTATACTGCACAATGCACACTGGGGAACTGGATGGGTGATCAATGCTCAAGACAAAGGGTTCTGGGAAAATATTACTTGAAAATAAAGTAGACCTCTACAAATCATTTGTACTTTTGATTTCCAATCTACATGCAGGTGTACATTCCAAAGACCAAATCTCCAATGTAAACACACAAATCAGTAACATAATACTGTACTGTGAAAACTGTGTACACAAATGAAAAAGAAGTAAACCAAATAAAATCAGAGTATGTGCCAGCAACAGAGTTATGAGTCACTTTTTTTTCTTGTTTACACTTCCAAGTAAACCGAAACAACCCATACAGCTCCAGTGAGTAAGCAAACACAGGTTGCCTATCAACAATCACAGGGTATGTACCTGTTCAATTCTTCCTGCATGCGCAGTCCAACTTATAATGTAATTCAAAGAAATCCTAAAGGGCCCAAGGACGAATGCCTTTTCTTTTCCAACACAAAGAACTTGCCCTTGGCTAAGTGGATTACATAATGCCTGGAATTCCTGTACATGTACACATGTGCTTTAGCGTTATCACAGGCAGTAAGCAAACCTCTTTGGCTGTATCACTACATGGTTCAGGCACACTTCCACGTACCACAGAGCATGGAGATGTGTGTTATTCCTCCATGCACAGAGCAATTCATACCCTACTCTGAGAAACATACGAGCCAACTTCAACTATGGTACATGTACATGTAGCTATAGAAAACTGACTTTCC